ACCTTGTCAAGTTTAATTTAAAACCCCCTGTTGGTTGGTAATGCCACACGAATTTTGCCTTTACTGTATACAAACTATCGGTCTGATAGTGTCGAAATACAGTCTGCCGCCCTCTATTTTCAATTTTCAATGTGTTTATATATTTTAAGGAAGAAAGATGAGAAGGCTCCAAAAAAAGCATTCTTTTTGACCATGATGACGACTTCAAAATAAAAAATAAAGGGACACGTCCGAAAGAGAATTGATTTAGCTATAACATACTCACAGGTGGGAGACAATCAATCAAGATAAGCGAGTACGTTCAAACAAATATATAAAGTAATAACGAAATAAATAAAAATTCAATTCTTTCTTAATTCAAATGGTAATATGATGACGTCACAATGTCCGATCAGCCAATATGAAGTAAAAAATCGTATCTACAACTCATGTGCTTTCAGATTATGTAATAAAAATTGGGGGTCACCTTTCATCCTAAGGAGCTATAACTGATCAAAAATATTATTGGTTTTATGCATATATAAATGTTGACGCACGCGTACGTGCACGCTAAAAAGCGCGAACGGAAAATTAAGGTACATAACATTCAACCTTGACCTGAAGCTTATGCTCACCTAATATGATTGGGAAATGATCAATGGTTAAGATTATATGGGGTCATCAACGTTTTGAAGAAAGAGAAATGAGGGGGTCAGAAAAAACAATTTTTTTGACCATGATGACGTCATCAAAATGTAAAAAGGAGTCAAATATATGAAGGAGAATTGTCTCAGCTATAACATACTCAAAGTTGGAAGACGATCGACCAAGGATAAGCGAGATGCGCTCAAATGCGTATTTTCAAAAATGACGTCATAGCTATAATTCACTTTCTTTGAGTTCAGATGCCAATATGATGACGTCACAATGTCCGATCAGCCATTATGATCTATAAAATCATATTTACAACTTATGTGCTTTCAGAATATGTAATAAAAATTGGAGGTCACCTTTCAACCTAAAGAGCTATAACTGATTAAAAATAGGTCTCATTTTAGCATATTTTCTCTGTATATCGGCACAAATCCGCGCAAAGATACCTATATTTGATGCGTATGTACGGCATTACTATTGGCCAAAAGAAGACCGAAAAGAAAGGAAGTTTGTGAAAACAATGTCAGGAACCGAAACTATGTAAAAGAACATAGTGTCTAACTTCCGTACGTGCTGCGCGCGTCAAAATGGAAAATTTGAAAAAAAATTGAAATGCTCAAAATGGCCTGAAACGTGCTGTAATTTAGTTAAAGAGTGTTTTCGAGCATTTTAAAATTTTGACGCATGCGTGCGCAAGCGTTATAAAGCGCACGCGTAATATTAGGGTACAGTACATTCAACATTAACCCGAAGTTAATGCTCACTTAATACGATTCCGAAATGGCAATTGGTTAGGCTGATATGATCGATAATGTAAAAACGCAAAATTGCGCGTAGATGACGTCACGCATGACTGAGTGCGTTGAAAAGCTTACCATGACTATTCCAGACCAAGCCAAATGTTCTCTGACAGCAATTGTGCGTAACTCGTGGCATTTTTTGGAGATATCGTGCGAACAGAAAAGGGGAGAAAGAAAGAAGAATAAAAAAAAGATGAAGAAGATGAGCCTGACAATAACAATAGGTGATCCGCACTGGATGCGGATCACCAATTAATTGTATTTTTTTTATTGAATTGAATATTTTGATAAATATTTTGCGATGCAGAAATAAAAAAAATAATACAGAAAGTAAAATATTCTAATTTAATAATCTCAATGCAAGTTGTTAAAGTACAAATATAGTATGTTCGTGTTCTTGGTTTGTGCATGGTTTGTGTCATTTTAAACGACACACAAACGGTGGATTTAGGTTTATATTGCTCTGCAAAAACTGTGTGTAAACAAGGAGATGCTATTTTTAGATCTCCCTGGTGTAAACAACAAATTACACGCGATACCGATCATTTCCTAAAAAACTGTCAACCAAATCAGCCATTGAACAATAACATGAGACTTCCAAAAACAGTTTTTTTATGACAATACTTTATCTACTTGAAGTTTTCAGAAAGTAGGTCATGTTTTTTGTCCGTACTACTAGGCTTCCAGAGATAAAATCTGTCCATGGTAGTCCCTAGATTCGCATACATCACATTTTAGAAAGTGAGGCGACACCAAAAATTCATCGACATTCCATTGCCTTACCATATACGGTTTGTAGTTTTAAAGGAGTAGGTGGCATTTTCTGTCCTTAGTTATGGCTTTAATAATTGTCAAAACAGAAAACCAATATGTAGTGCACTACATCATATCCAGTTTAGCTTGGGTAAAAAAAATCTTAACGAACAGATTTCTGGAAACCCATGTTTGCCTGTTTACAAACTTTTGATACATAGCATAACACACACACGCACACCACCATGAAGGTATCATATGACACGAAGTCAAATGGAAAGGTTCCTATTGTTAATAGGAACCAAAAAGTGATGCTTATTCAAGAGATGCCCTTATTTGAACATTTACAGTACACACAATGAAATAGAAAATTTTGAAAACTAACAACAATAAGAAAGTATAATACATACTCCAAGTATTGAAATGCACGCCATTGCATTTCGATACATGGAGTATGTATTTAATTAAACTGAGATTAATCAGTGGACCTTTCGGTTTTTAGATAACAACAATAACTCACCAGAGAATTCATGAACCATTTCACTATTCCAAGTGAAAGGAGTGAAATCAACACCACTATGGTATGCCTTATCCCATCTGTTACATTCGAATGTATCTTCCATCCCAGTAATAACCCACTAACAAAGGGAAATATAATTCAATCTCTCTTAATAATATCTCATTAATATTATGTCAATTAAAATCAAGACTAGCATCTAAGCCTTTTTATGGGGTCTTAGCAACAATATCTAATGGCAGGATTTATGAGAAATAACCCATTTCTTTAATTGTGGAAAAAATATTTTTCCCAAGAGCCTGCATGCCGCTTGGTTCAGTATTTGCTCTAAGACCTATTATGAATACCTTGCTTATGACTTGCAGCATATACTGTATTTGCTATTCAATGACACAATCATTAAATTACATTGATGAGCACAATTTATTAAGACAAAATTCCAACATCTGAAAAAACTTATTAGGAACATGAATTACACAAATTTTCATCTACAAACCTCATTGTTATCTGATATCTCATATTTGAGGTAGTAACAGCGAGGATAGAGCGCGTTACTTCCACAAACAAATATTTTATTATCGTTCATCACTTTAAAAACTCTGATGTAGTTGAAACAAGCATCCTAGTGATAAATAGAAAAGCACAGTTTATCATACTATTATACAATATTGTTGTAATCAATTATAATAACAATGGCTAAATAGTTTCATCAGGTTTCTGATAGTTGATTCAATAAATAATTTCTTGTGTCTATGGAAACAAACACCACAAATTCTGACGAAGCATAACTGATAGCCAGGCCAAACTGTCAACACAGCAAAAAAACAGTAAGTAAAACTGCTTTAATGCAAGAAATTCTTAATTGCATAATATCTGTCAGAGGAAAGTTGTTTATGTGGGAATATGCCTGCTCAGAAATCCTGCCTTGCTTTATACTCTTTATCATTTATTGACTTTATTAAATATTACAGGTATATTGCATTAAGCAAGGCTTTTTTTTTCATACGATGTTGTTTCACAAATTTATAATAAAATTTTGGTTTTCATTTAGCAAAGAGTTTTGCCAAAAACATCCAGACGGAAAAGAAAAACTAAAATAAATTTTATGCAGTGAATGTAAATAGCGTAGTAATGGGATGGTTAAATACTTAACATTTAAGTAATTAGGAAGAAATATACATATCTTAATTTTTGGAGATACCAAGGTAGTGGTGGGCATAAAAAAATAAAAAGACCTTTCATTTTTTTTCTGAAATATCCATTGGCCAAATTGGCCAAAAATTTATTTTTTTTATTCAAAATCATCATTATTGGCAGGCAGCGGGTTTGCTAAACAAGTTATAAAAAAGTCTCGCCTCATCCAAGTTGCAAGTGAAATAACTTTGCTTTGAATAACTGTTCTTATGATGCTAAGCGTGGCTGTGGTATAATTGAATTTGTAGGCGACCAGGAATTGTATTACTGAGCAGTCCCCCAGGATAAAATAATAAAACAAACATGCACAAAATATAATAAAATCTTTCTATATTCTGCCTAATTAAGTTTTAAAGAAAATAAATAAGCTTCATACCTTTTTATTTTGCTTAGAACATTCAAGATCATTGAATGGCTCACAAACATTAAATTTTGTTGTAAAATTTCTTTCCTACAGATGAAAAAGAATTGTTTAATTTTTGAAGATGTTTAGCGATTACTCTAACATCATGGTTTTTCATTGAGTACAGTAGTGTATAGTTAAATTATGTATACAGTACCTTTGCACAATCTATTAATATATTACCATAACCATCACCACTTCCAACGAGGCTACTGCATTTAAAATCACATTTAAACAACATATAAGCCAAGTTTCTATAAAATCGCTACATGGTATCACCGACAGGTTTACTGTACACTGATTAAATGGCAAAGCCTTCCCTACTGCGTCTGGAACAGCTACGCAGCATAACAATTGCAGTGAAAACACTGTAAAGATTTTATGGAAGCTAGGCTTTATGTAAAAGCCAGGTCTATTATGCTTCTTCGCTGGAAACAGTGAATAATTCAAATTTGAGTCAATTCCAACCTACACAACTTGGCCTCAAGTCAATTCAGTCCTCAATAATTCAGCTTTTAATAAAAATATATTGATATGGCAATTACGGTTTCCAATATTAAATTTCTATTTAATTCAGTGCTACAAATGCCATCAAGATGTAAAATCTTAAGATGTAAAATTTAAGATATTTACGTAATATTTAAGATGTAAAATATATAAGGACAAACAAATACCACTGCCATTTTTAAATAGGGAATTTAAAACACAATACTACAGTATACCATTATAATATTGAGCAGTGAGTCAGAGATAAATATCAAAGGACTATTAACAACAGAGTTGATTGATAATTAATAAAACATACCAGTAAATATTTGCAGCAGGACATTTATAGTATGTTTGAATCCAGATTTGTCTACTATAGCCAGCAAACTGTTCATATCACTAGTGGATGCAAGAATTCAAAATATAGGGGGCCGAGACACTTAATTTTACAGATTAATGGTCCCGACTACCTCAGACCCAACATACTGTATTTGGGGCTGAGTTATGAAATTTTATGTCTATGGTACTTCTAAATGCTGGAAATGGTACTTTGCACTGCAGAATGTACTTTTCTTTTTTTCTTCAAAATTTCTTCCCCCACCCCCTCTTGAAGTTGCCTATATATCATTGACAATTTTTATCTCTTTCAAAATATGAAGACACATACAGTAGAAATTATATAAGGTGAAGAATCAAGAATAAAAAAATCTATTTATATAAACCAAGTGAGATACCTACCATTTCTAAATTTAAAGGAATTGCTATCAGTTTATTTTTTCCTCCAACAAATAAGGTATTGTTCTCAATCGACAGTAGTCTATATCTCATGCCTTCGTCTTCAGTAATACTCAAATCAAAAATGTCACCTAAATTTTTCAGAAAGCAATAATTCAATTTTCTGTGCATGTTCTACAACAGGGGTGGGCATAAAAATCAGTCGTAAATATTAGTTTTACCCAGAACAAACACACACAATCTATGGCAGCAATCTTGTAATAGTACACGCACACAGCTTTGCATATTTCGAACATCGAATACACTGGAGTTCTAGTATTCTGGGGCGAATCCAGTAGCGGGGCATGGAGGTTTCTATTCCGAAACTTTTATGCCCTTCCCTTTTGAAAAATTCTGGATCTGCCCTTGGTATTCTTATAATTCAATGATTTTGACATGAAAGCGACTCAGGATCATAAAAATTTTAGGAATGTGGACACCTTGGATTAAAAACTTGGATTTTAAAACATTTATTCATTAGAAAATGGGCTGCAAAAATGATAATCAGATCACAAACCATCATTAGCGGCATTGGAAGTTAAGTACTGTAAATATTCATACGAGTTAATCACATGATTTACTGTAGAAAATAAATAGATACTTACTACCCAGCAAAGTTCTTTTCATATTCTCTCCAACACATGCTTCAAAATGAGTCATAGCTGCTATGGTAACAAATATTGCACTACACGTCAAACACCCCATAATAATAGATCCTCAGATGCTCTCTTCGGTATTAATATATGTAAAGTATCATGTAATTCTGAAATAATACAAATGCAAAATTTAATTTATAATGGACTCTCACAGAGTCCATTTCGCTATTAGCATAATTAGGTGGTTAGGGCCCTTGGCAAAGCTCCCCCCCCCCCCCCCCCATGTTACAATATAAATGCTAAAATATTTATGGCTGATCTGTTTCTACTAGAAGTGAGCAACATTGATTGATCTGCTAAAAAACCCTTTCTTAGTGCCAGCTTTGTATTTTTTATATACTTCCTTATAAACTTTGAATTCCTATTCACTCGAACATACAGTGATTAATATCTGCATTGCTGTAATTACGTAGGCTATGATTTGTATTTTTTATGGATGTTCAGTATACTGTATACAGTAGGCCTATACTTTAAATATACTATACACTGGTTTTTTTTGTGCAAAAATCACTTACATACTACTGTAGTTCCCATTACACAGATGTACAAATTTAAACATAAAAATATCTGCTGTTTCCAAATGAAAACAATAATTGTTTTCATCATCATCAAATAAAACTTTATATTAAACTATTTTGGTCCAGCCTCTTTTTGACATAATATTGGATTACCAGACCATGAATGTTCTATTTTTTATACTGTGCCATCCTGACCAGACACACGTCAGAAGCAGCATTAACATCCTGGTGACACCGCAATTAAAAAATAAATACAGTTTACAATACTTCCTGGTTGGAAAAAGTCACAATCCTAATAAGATTGTGTTCAAGTGCAAACCAGTACAATGCACATGTTTTGCACCAAATTCAGACTTTTATTAACTTCCTGTATCTTGGTGTGACTTCACAGTATGATGAGACCACTGGGGGAAATAGTCAATAGGGATCCTGGAAAAGAGGTATTCTTCCACTAAAGTTAGTCCTATCATACAGCTGACCATCTTTAGTACTATCAATAAGTACAGTACTCTGTAAGTATAGTAGATTTCATGTGTTGGTACTAACATACTGTCAGCCACCAATAATTCAAGAACAAAATTGATTTCACTTTTTGTAAATAAATATATTGTCTATGAGCTATGGTGAAATCTGAAAAAAAAAAAAATTAATAGAAAAAATTAATCAAAACAATTCAAAGCAATAAGTTTTCACTGGTTGATTCAGTCTTTTTGACTATTTATATTCTTTTTATTAGCAAATTTAAGGTGTTAAATATGTATTGTCACCTGAAAAACGACAAAAAAATAATCATAAAAATTAAACTTGCTTGTTTTGAAGTAACATAAAATTATAATCTTTATTTGTGTATGTTTTTCTCTTGAAGGGATTGCTGACAAAACAATTTAACTGTTTGTTATATCGTTGTACCTTGTAAAATTTGATAAATTAAATAAGTGAGTTTTGCAGTTTTTGCAATATTTATAGGATTTTAATACACTACAGAGATAGGCTTTTATTTTTCAATCTTGATTTCAGAGGTCAAAAAAAAATTTCAATTTTTTTTTTTCAATCATATAGTGGTGTACGGTAGACTAGTCTTTTAAGAACATTTTGCTGGAAATTTTTTTTGGATACGACGTCCCGTTATAGAGTTATGATTTTTTAAATAACATGATGTCAAAAAATCCGTCCAAAAGCTTATCTTATTTTTGTTGGTTATGCACCTCTGATTCGCAATGTTTGTCATCACTTCAAGATGTCTACCGATTCGTGAAAAAGGCATATTAATATTATGCAAAACCCAGGCCTAACTAAAAAATTAAAATTGTCATAGTATGTAACTCAAGTTAAAATAACACTTTTCATTACTCGTGCAGCTTAATCAAATATTATATGTCATTTTAAACAACCCATTGGTATTAACATGGTAACATCAATGTATTTTTTAAAATTATACCCGATTCACACGTACAAAAATCTTACCAACAAAATGTAACCAAAAGTAAGATTTTACGGCACGTGTGAAAGTACCTCCGTGTAATATCCTTGTAAAATCTTGGAACGTCTCGGTAATCTTTACCAGCCTCGCTGAGGCTGGTAAAGCTCCCGAGATGTAGCATAGATGGATCTGCGCATGCGCAGGGATTCCAACACAACAACAATCTACTGTGTTTCACAGGGTTCTTTGAATTTTCTTTCTTCTGCAGACGATTCTGATCCACTAGAAATAGATAGGCCTAGTTTTTCTCAATGATGAATGCATTTCCCTTGTTATTGAGGTTAATTAGTAATGGTAGAAGAAGAAGATATACATAAAATGAACGTCGGGATGGTGTTAGTACTATTACTAGTATTATCAAGAGTCGACAGAAACGTTGGAAGTTATGCCTAGTTTAGTAGTAGTAGTAGTAGTAGTAGTCTAGTTAGTAGTACAGTAGTTTACAGCAGTTGTTAAGGGTATTGATTGCTTCGAATGTTTACTGTGATGGTGAGTTGAACAGTCCATCTGTGACAGGGGTTCTCAACTAGGCCTAGGCTAGACCTTTATCGCAGTAGGGGGAAAAATGATTCATTGAATAAACACTGAGTAAATTTTACACGACCTTGACATTACCTTACAGACGCGTGTGAATGGTTTTTATCTCGGTAGGAATAACTCGGGAGATCGCTCGGTTACAATTTGTTACTTTTTGTTAAATTTAATTTCACGTGTGAATCGGGTATTAGACAGCGACGCTCTCAGAAGTTGTTCTGTAGACGTTTATCTGTTGATGTCCGCCAAATTTTGGGTACAGGTTGTGGGAAAGGGCTTAGTAAGGGTTAACATGGGTACGGGTTGACTTATATTGCCCTATATACGCTGGTATAGGCCATTAGTGTACTACCTAGGGGCCTAGCTAGTAGAGGAAGTTCCTAGCGCATATGGCTATGCCGTGCGACTGCCATGAGAAAACCAAAAGAAAAAGCTGATGTATTTGTAAATAAAGACAAAACATAGAGTGACAAAATAACCAGTATATAGACTACACAATTATTTACACATTACTATACTAATTATACTTACCAGATTGAAATACTCTTTATAACAGGCATTCAACAGAGCGAAACCTCAGTCGAAGACAAGGAAAAACATTTTTTATTAACAACCGAAGATAAAAACGCCATAGCATACATATGGAACGCCATCGCTGCCTTCGGTAACAGCTTACCATTCGGCGCATTTACATTCGGCCCTTTTACCACTACGTTCGGCTCTTTTACCATTCGGCGCATTTACATTCGGCCCTTTTACCATTACGTTCGGCTCTTTTACCATTCGGCGCATTTACATTCGGCCCTTTTACCATTACGTTCGGCTCTTTTACCATTCGGCGCATTTTCATTCGGCCCTTTTACCATTACGTTCGGCTCTTTTACCATTACGTTTGGCTCTTTTACCATTCGGTGCATTTTCATTCGGCCCTTTTACCATTCGGAGCATTTACATTCGGCCCTTTTACCATTCGGCGCATTTACATTCGGCCCTTTTACCATTCGGCGCAATTACATTCGGCGCAATTACAAAAAAATATAACCTTTGACATAGGGTCAAATAAAAAATTTCAACGGCTGTGGGAATGAGCCTATATTTACATTGGCCTTTCTTGAAACGTTGGCGGCGCTGTCAACTGGAGGCAAAAGACTTCGCGGTATAGGAGAAATGCATGTAAAACAGAGATACGGGTTACTTTTTTTTGTTGTTGTGTCAAAAATACGAAAGCTATATGAATAAAATTCACATATGTCATAGTTGTACCGGTATATATTAGGAATCGACAAAAAAAATAATCTAGGAAATTACAGTTTTTCTATTTTTATTCATTTTTTAAAAATCATTTGGGGAAATCGTCGCACTAACCACAATAGCCGGGATGCACAGCGCTGAGGGTATCAACATTGGATGATTCATTTAAAGATTCGACTACCAGGAATCTGCGTTTGCATCTCTCGAATCGCCCGTCTTTCTCTTGTGCATGTGTACCTTTGTTTTATACACAAATAATATGCTTGGCAAATAATCCAGATTTGTGGGGTCGCCCGATTTTTTGCCTGTTAAAACACTATTTAACGTATGTCACAGCCTAAAATGATTGGGAGCAAAATGCAATATAACGGAAATGGGCCTTGGGTCTGTTTTTACCTACGAGAAATGAAGTGCTCGCTACATATTCTTGCTTTTCTGAAGAAGACCATTTTTTCTACTAATTGCAGAGATCCATGATAATTTCCTTCGTTTTGATTTTCTTTAATAATAATAATAATATTAATAATAATAATAATAATAATAATAATAATAATAATAATAATAATAATAATAATAATAATAAAGATTTATAAAGTCGCATAAATCTTTTAGATGGAATTCTATAAAAAATTACTTGCTATTCTTTAGCTACTAGAGTTTTAAAATATTTGACATGGATGAAATTATCCACGTTTATTTCGAAATTATCCTATCACGACCAAAAAGAAGTGTGGCCTTATCTAACCATATATTAAAGTTATGTATATTCATTATAATTTCATAGATATTAAAATGTAAACAGTTTATTAAAAATGTGTGAGTGGCATTATGTCAGGAATAAAATTGAATTGAAGAAGAAGAATATAATTGATTTTGTTTCTGTTTAAAGTGTATTCATATAACACAGGGGGTGGGTCCAGAGATGGTGGGGCCAATTAGACAATACACTAGGGATCCAGGGAAATTTAATCCGCGAAATGTTTGTTTTTAGACGCCCAAAAATAACAGAGGCATTTCCGTGCGATTAATTATTTATTTTTTCCTTATTTGTTTTTCTTTTTGCTTTCCGAAAGAGTGGGTGGGGGAGGGGTAGGGGCGCGACCGGCCCGGCTCAACTTTAATCGACACACAGTATGAGGTAAGTGCTGTACTGTTTAAGTTGAACCATGGACCTATTAATAAGAGTCCATGGTTGAACTGACATAGCATTCGAATTTCCTATTTAAATAACCCTCAGAGCTGTGCAACTCGGCTATTGTGTGGTTGGTGCTACGATTTCCCCAAATGATTTTAAAAATTGAATAAAAATAGAAAAACTGTAATTGCCTAAATGTTTTTGTCGATTTCTAATATATATAACTAGGCCTATGACATAAGTGAATTTTATTCATGTAGCTTTCGTATTTTTGACACAAAAAAAAAGTAACCCGTATATCTGTTTTACATGCATTTCTCCTATACCGTTAAGTCGTTTGCCTCCAGAGCCATATATATAAAGAGTTGCGACATTCCACTCCTTGGTTTACGAAAGTCACGTGGTACACACCGTCCATTTTGTTTCATAATCTTCCCGATGAACACATGCAAAGTATATGTGTTACGTACATTGCATATTAATTTCACACACTTAATTGGGTTCACAATTATATTTTATAACTAACATCACTTAGTATGGACAGCATATAAGAATTCATATATAATCGAATATTTGCGCGCGTGCGTGCTCGCGTAAATTCCGTGCTCGCGTGAATGATTGAAATTAAAATTAGAATTGTTTTCAATTATCGTTAATTCGTCACATTTTAATCAATGAAGACCCGAACTGTTTTATTTAATGGTAATCTTTTCTTTGGTCTTAATTGTTTTTAATATTTTTTAATAATTT